GATTTAGAACTTCAAAATCACCAGTGGGAAGAAAGGGGAAAAGACAATTTAATCAGTACAGCGAAACTAAAGGGGAGAAACAAAACAAGCAGTAAAATGCAAAGAAAAATTGTAAGATGAAAAAAATGATTTTGTACTTGGAGCGAAGCTTGGTGCTCACTCTCTTGTTTACTCCTTCCTCCTAGAAACCAGCGCAAGGAGGAAACTGACGTTACTGACACTTCTTTCCCACAACCCCGACGCCTGCTCTTACCTGGAAAATATATACACACACACACACACACACACTCTCTCTCTCTCTCTCTCTCTCACACACACACACACACACACACACACACACACACACACACACACACGCACACTTTCACAGTGACATTTCTTCTCTCACTCCAGCCAGGGCCTCATAAACCAGCTTCCCTGCTCTTCCTGCCCATGGTGCTGGATGGTCTTGGGTGGATAGCAGCTCTGTTGGTGCCCGCCTTCTTCCCACCACACACCTGGGCCTGTGGCCAGCCCCCTCAGATCCCTGTGCTGTCCTCCCAGAGATGTTTAAATGCAAGCTGTTCACGAGAACCCTACCCCCACCACTCAGCTTTGTTTGTTAACGTTCGTGGCAATGTTCAACATGAAAACCAGCAGGATAGGATAGGGTTCAAAGACCCCAGAGCAGGCTGTCTGTCAACAAGGGCCCCAGAGCCATCCCACAGGGCATTTGCCCATTCTTTCTTCTTGGGTTCTCATAGTGAGCCTTTGACAACAAACTGGGCCCGTCGAGGAGCTCACACTCAGAGGGTCGATCGATGTAAGTTAGAAGCTGGAATTGTCCTGAAACTTGCAAGTGCTGGATGTGAAACTCATTCGAAAGATCTCAGAAAGCCTGAGAGACCTCTGTTTCCTTGGTGCCAAGCAGGGGTACCAAATGTGCGTGCCCACAAAGGCAAACACTTCACAGCTTGGCACCAAGAAGCTTTGTTTTTGGAGATAGAGTCTCACGCTGTTGTCCAAGCTGGAGTCAGTGGCATGATCTTGGGTTACTGCAACCTCCACCTCCTGGGTTCAAGTAATTCTCCTGCCTCAGCCTCCCGAGTAGCTAGGATTTCAGGCCCCTGCCACCAAGCCCAGCTAATTTTGTATTTTTCTTAGTAGAGATGGGTTTTCTCCATGTTGTTTGGGCTGGTCTCTAACTCCTGACCTCAGGTGATCTGCTCGCCTCGGCCTCCCAAAGTGCTGGGATTACAGGTGTGAGCCACCATGCCTGGCCCTGAAGCTTTCTTAAAGTAAAACTAGTGTTCAGGGTGAAATGAAAATCTAATTCTTCTCATTTTAATCCTGAAAGCATTATTTTTTTTTAAAAGAAACACCCTATCCCTACATTTTTACTTTGATTTGTTCTAGGTTTCAGGTAAACTTGTTTTAGTAATTCTTTGTATTCATTTATGTCCATTTCTGTTCCTCCCTAAGGACACTACAATTTACTAGGCACCATCATACCTGGCTCTCTTTTTACCACAGGAATGACCTTTATAATTAAATGTGAGTGACAAGTATAACAAACACAATGTGAGCTGTGATACACACAGGAGACGCATAGCAAGGACGCTAATGTCCTGGTACCTCCTCTGTCCAGGTGACTGGTTAAATGTAAGACTTTCCTTTCAATAAAGTTTTGAGGGCTTAGCTCTGAAAGGAATGTGACCTTCCAAATCCATTAAGACATCAATGTTGACCCCTCCAGATTTTTGTTTGGTTCCTTCTGTCTCTGGCAACACCCACGGCATTCCTTGCTTTCAACTTAAATTCTGAAGCACCAGCATCAGCCCTCCCCTCCTGCTCAATCCTCCGGCTGACCTAATTTCCTGCTACCCTGTCCTGTTGACTTACAGGACTCCTAGTCTAAAGGTGTCTTTTCCAAAGCTACTTACTTTGCTGATTTGAACTCTCTTCAGGGAAACAACAACAAAAACCCATTTCCAAAATAAAGCATTTACCAATAAGATATTTCAAATCATTTGCATTTTGAAAATAGACTTCGTTGCTAGGGTGACATTGTTTATTGGCCCAGCATTTGAGTAACGTTCTGCCTCCTGGAGCTTGAGTGGTGTCCTTTCATTTTCATAGGACAGTGGCACATTTGTCCAGAAGGATTGCAAGGGGCACCTGGTCCATCCCTGCCACTGGGCATATGAAGAACCCGAGACACAGAAGCTGCCAAGGAGACAGAGCTGATCAGGGGCAGCCTCATGGCTCCAGCCCAGGCTCTCTGCTGCAGCTGAATCAGCGAGGCATTGTCCCTGCAGTGGGGACCAGGGAGAGGTCTGGTTGTGTTTTAGGCTATTAAGATTAGAGACGATACTGGGGAGGACAGGACAAACAGCAGCTTCTTTTATTTCGTTACATACTTATAGATGCATCAGTAACTTTGAAGTCTTATCTTACAGACGTATTTTTTAAGGTTTTTTTCTAACAGATACAGATGCTTTTCACATCAGTGAAATACGATACAAACACTTTGACTTTTATAATTGAGCTCTACTTTCAATATCTTAGAAAATTTCTTTAGCAGAATGATGCTGTCTTTGCAGACTTTAGTTATGGATGAGATATTGCTTATCAGCACCATTCAACAAGGCCCTAATTAACAACTATTTTTGAGCATCGCCTATGTGTCCCATATTCCACATGCAATGTTTTAAGTATCTATGAATATAAAAGATGAGTGACAGCTAAAATTAAAGCACTCTTCCCTGAAGTACAGAAGATAGAGAACAAAGAGGGAATATTATTTTCTAAATCATGAGAAATTCATACACCAATACACAACAAAATACTTCAAAAGACACTGACGCTACAATTTCACCTTACTTACCATCAAGTTTTATCCATCTATTTTGTTTTTCTTAAAACGCAATGGTTAAGTTAGGGAGCCGTACAATTTAATTCAAGACAACTGTTTTCCCCATCCCTGCCTCCTCCATGTGCTCTGACAGACATGCTTTCAAATAAAATTCTACACTGCTTTTTCTCAAATTAAAGGCGTGCTAGTAGCCAAGCACTAGAACAAGGCAGCACACACACACATACACACACAACAAAATAAACGTGTTTTAGGTTAGGATTATGGTTTTAGTTTTGAGCTTTAAAAAAGGAATCAAAATTATATGTTTAAAAAGATAAAAATACCTTAACTGTGTCCTTTTAAATAAAGCTGAACTTAGAAGTTAGGACCTTTGAATTCAAAAGCTCCTGTTCACTTTACTGTTAGCCACTGAAATTCTAAAAGAAGAAAAAAAAACCAGCAATGAAGGGAATCGAGAGTAGGTGCAGACATCAGGGAGACAGGCTTTGCCTGCCATTGGTACCCCCGGTTACACTTGCCACCACCTTTCAGAGCCAGCGGGGCCTTTCCAGGGAGCCCAGGGCAGGCTCCATGCAGCTCATCACTGTGGACACCGGGGGGCTCCAAGAGAGGGTAAGTGTCCAGGAGACCTGGCTCAGGCTAGTCTGGGAAAGCCAACGCTGACATAGTTTCTGGTGTCTGTGAGTTGGTGCTGCTGAGACAGGAATGAATACACTGCCTGAGTGAAAGAAAAATATACAGGCCCCAAGCCCGGCCATAATTTCATTCTTTTTCTCCTTCCTTCCTTTGCTTCCTTTCCTCCCTCTCTCCCCCTGCCTCTCTCCCTGTCTTTCTGTCTCTCTCCCCGCTCCCTCTCTCCCTGTCTTTCTGTCTCTCTCCCCACTCCCTCTCTCCCTCTCCTTCTGTCTCTCTCCCCGTTCCCTCTCTCCCTTTCTTTCTGTCTCTCTCCCCGCTCCCTCTCTCCCTGTCTTTCTGTCTCTCTCCCGACTCCCTCTCTCCCTTTCCTTCTGTTTCTCTCCCCGCTCCCTCTCTCCCTCTCTTTCTGTCTCTCTCCCCACTCCCTCTCTCCCTCTCTTTCTGTTTCTCTCCCCGCTCCCTCTCTCCCTCTCTTTCTGTCTCTCTCCCCACTCCCTCTCTCCCTTTCCTTCTGTTTCTCTCCTCGCTCCCTCTCTCCCTTTCTTTGTCTCTCTCCCCGCTCCCTCTCTCCCTCTCTGTTTCTCTCCCCGCTCCCTCTCTCCCTGTCTCTCTCCCCACTCCCTCTCTCCCTTTCTTTCTGTCTCTCTCCCCGCTCCCTCTCTCCCTTTCTTTCTGTCTCTCTCCCCGCTCCCTCTCTCCCTTTCTTTCTGTCTCTCTCCCCGCTCCCTCTCTCCCTTTCTTTCTGTCTCTCTCCCCGCTCCCTCTCTCCCTTTCTTTCTGTCTCTCTCCCCGCTCCCTCTCTCCCTTTCTTTCTGTCTCTCTCCCCGCTCCCTCTCTCCCTCCCTTCTGTCTCTCCCCGCTCCCTCTCCCTTTCTTTCTGTCTCTCTCCCCGCTCCCTCTCTCCCTCTCCTTCTGTCTCTCTCCCCGCTCCCTCTCTCCCTTTCTTTCTGTCTCTCTCCCCGCTCCCTCTCTCCCTCCCTTCTTTTCCCTCCTTTCCTTCCTTTTCCTTTCACAGGGTCTCACTCTGCTGCCCAGGCTGCAGTGCAGTGGTGCAATCTTCTCGACTTCTTGGCCTCGGGTGATCCTCCCAACTCAACCTCCCAAGTAGCTGGAACCATAGGTGTGCCCCACCACCTCATCTGGTTAATTTTTTGTAGAGATGGGGTTTCACCATGTTTCCTAGGCTGGTCTTGAACTTCTGGGCTCAAACAATCCACTAGCCTTGGCTTCCCAAAGTGTTGAGATGACAAGTGTGAGCCCATCAATTCTTCTATGAATGACTAGGTTTGTGATGGGTAAAAGAGATTAATTTTACCGAGGGACTCACTTAAGAGGCCCTAGGGACAAGGCCCAGAAAGATCCAGAAACACCACCATGGATCCCTTTAGAAGAACTCTGATGTTTCTCTGATAGCCACAGAGTAGCTCAGGTGGTGTTTTTCTCATTCATGAGGTTTAAAACATTGCAAAATCATGAGCTGATATGGGCACATTCTAGAGATACTTGCCACTGAGCAAAGGCTTGTTGAGGGTGTAGAGAGGTGGCAGGTCCTCTATGTTGGAGATCCGCTGGTACATGGCCCTGGAAAGGTGGTCCCCGTGATAGAGGCTGCCCAGGATGATGCTCGAGAAGTAAATGGGCTCCACGAAAATGCTGAGCAGGGATCCCTGGATGCCCACCACGTTCCAGCTGGAGGGAAAAGAAAACGCACTCGTGAGGGAGCTCAGACTCAGTGCTGACGCCGCCCAGCCCAAGCCTGCTGGTTACAGGGATGCACTGGCAATTCTGCAGGATCCCAGCCAACCCAAAGAGGAGTGCAACGAAAAGTCATAGACTGATTCAGCAGCTTAAGATCATAAAGACAAAAATCAATTTGAAAGTTATTTTACACTGATTTTTTTTACCATTACATTTTCCCATAATCAACGAGCCACGTTCCTTGTGAGAAATCTGTGGGAAATACCAGAAAAAAAGTTACGTCTTTATTTTATTATAGCAGGTCCTCCTTATCTGAGGTTTCAGTTTCAGAAGTTTCAGTTGCCCACCGTCAACCATGATCTCAAGATGTTAAATGAAAAATTCCAGAAATAAACACTTCTAGGCTTTCAGTTGTAAGCCGTTTTGAGGAGTGTGATGGAATCTTGTGCTGTCCAGCCTGGGATGAGAACCATCCATACTGCAGATGCCACTGGGCCACGAGCAGCCATCCTGGTGATCAGATTGATGGTCACAGCATCACAGGGCTTGTGTTCAAGTCACCCTAACTTTATTATTAGTGACGGCTGTTAATCTCTTACTGTGTCTAATTATAAATTAAACTTTATGATAGGTATGTATTTATAGGAAAAATACCAGCACATACAGGGTTCAGTACTGTCTACAGTTTCAGGAGTCTTCTGGGAGTCCTGACACACATCTCCTACAGATAAGCGGGGACCACTATACTTCTTATAAAAATGACAGCTCTTAAAGGAGCCCTTGAAAACACTGAACTGTGTATTTCCTGTTCCTCTGCAAGGGACAATGGCACTGAATGCACAAGGAGATGGGGTGTGGGGATTACAGCGGCTGCATACGTGCGGCTGACCTGCATGACACCAACCATGCATGCCAATGGTGACTTGGGTATTCGTTATCAGCTCAAACACACACATGCCAATATGCCTGTTTTCTCTTTCTGAGCCCCACAAACAGCAGAGATGCTCTGCTTGGCCTGGGAGTTGTGGTGTCAGGAGAACCTTTTGCTGGGCGCTACATGTACAGGGTGTGAGGTACTGGGGGGAGACACAGTCCAGGAGCTAAACAATAATGCAATGAAAAGACAAAGGAAGAACCATAAACTGAGGTAAAATCAATATGGGAGAAAGGGCAGGGTTCTGTGAAAAAGAAAAAGGGGTGTATGTACTTCAAGGAATGCTCCTGGGGTGACCCTGAAGCTTAGCCCAAAGCGGGGGGTGGGGGGGGGGGAGGAGAGGGGGAGGGACTGTGAGGCTGATGAAGGCATGTCCCAGCCTGGGGAGCAGGGGATGCAGGACAGCAGCAAGGGCAGCCAGGGCAGATGGGCAGGGGACCCCGAGCAGCCAGGAGCCTGATGAGAGATGGGGTAGTATTGAGAGGGCAGAGAGAGGCCCCTGGAGGACTTCTGGCAAACCAGTGGCCCCATCTAATTTCATGGAAGTGTCTCAGGGGACTGGCAAATGTGCATTTTACTAAGTGACATCAGCAGTGTGGCCCACGGCTGCAGGGGAAGATGCTCAGCAGCACAGGTAGGAAATGAGGGCCGACTGGGCGGTGGGGACACGGCCAGGGCAGGTGAGAAACAGTTGGGCTTAGATCTGGGGAGGCGGCAGGACTTGAGATTGCAGGAGGCTAATGCCCAGGCTGAACCAGCCTTCAGGCACTCCCTCCCTCCCTCACTCCACAGCACAGCCCCTGCCTGACAATGTCCATAGTTGTATTTGGAGGCCTGAAGTCTCAGGGCTGCTCCACCGCCCCCAAGAGCCTAGTGGGGCAGAGCTGACAAGTGGGGTAGGGCAGGCAGCACAAGACAAACAGCCGCCAACCTCACCTATCTAAGCCCTGCTACAGATCCACCGCAGCGCTGACCTCCAGCTGCTCAGTCCCCACTCTGGGGTCACCCTCACCCCGTCTCTCCCTGTCACAGTAGTTATCAGCAGATCCCCTGGGGTCCACTTTTAGAAGAGGTGTAGGAACTGACTTCTGGCCATGGCTACTGCTAGACCATGGGTCAAGTCATGCTACCCTGCCTGTGTCATGGCACCCTCTCCCTAAGAGGAACCTGGTGCCTGCCTCAAGCCCTCTCCTCTTGGCCCCTGTGAACACGTGGGCCCGCGCAAGCCATTCCCCGGCACAAAACAGTCCAGCGGTTCCCAAGAAAATGCCGGCAGTCCTCTGGCTGGATCCCTCGGCCCTGTCACCTCACCCTGTACCTGGCCCCAGCTTCTGGCCACCCTCAGGGCCTCCTTGCTGCTTGCCCAGCGCTTCTGTCCACAGCTTCATCAGCTGAACACCCATCCCAGAGGTGGCCAAGGCTGCCCCACTTTAGGTCCCTGTACAAAAGCCCTTCTGAGGGAGGCTTCCCTTACCTGCTGCCTGAGCCCTCCACCCTCATTCTGATCTCCACGCAATTTACAGATCCATGTTGGGCTCTCTATCCCCATCCTACCCCAGTGCAGTAAGAAGTTTCTGAAGTTTTTGTCTGCCTTCTTTACTGACCTATCCCAGCATTTGTAGTATGTATCTGGCACATACAGAAGATCAATAAATATTTGTTGAATGGACAAATCCTCCAATTCCTATGACACATTCCTCTACCTTCCAAAATGGAAATGAAAATGCAGGTTTCCCTAACTTACAGAAAAAGCATGAAATGATCCAATGCCTATAAGAAACACAGGCCCCTTTTTTCTATAGATTAGAAGCCTCCACGAACTTAGAGCATCTTTAAGCCGAATTCAGTCTTCTGGGCAAACTTTAAAGCAGATCCTGCAGAAACCTACATTTGTTAGGAGTCATTAATTCTGAACACATGCTTTGTAAGAGAATTCCAGGAGTGTCTACAGCTCTGCAGAGGCCCTGGGTGGAAACGGTGTGGCACCAGCTCCCACCAATGTGCCTCACAAAGGAGAGCTGGGACAGACTTCACCAGGATGAAATCGCCTAGTACCAGTGAGAGGGTGTCAGGCACAGTCAGCATCCATGCAACTAAGCCGAGTAAAGCTCTGCAAAGACTGCAGGCAGCACATCTCCCAGAGACGCTTACTGCACGCCCACAGCCACCTGTCCTGTGGACCCCATGGGAGGGTCCCACTCAGCGCGCTCCGTGAAGTGTTGTCTGGCTGACCTCCGAGGAACCTGCAGGTGTCCCACGGCCTCGGGCTCACTGACCTGGGTCTAGGCATCTGTGCCTGGCCTTCTTCCTCTTTTGTTTACCTCACACCATTTCTTTAGCAACAGAGTTCAGAGTGCTACCATCTGACCTGTCCCCTGATCCAGTAAAGGGTCTGGCCTGGCCTGAGAGACTAAGCTGCAGACAGAGGTCGGCCAGATCACACAGGGCAGAACTACTCTGACCCAAACTACAGCCTCCACAGCACTCGGCCCAGTGGGCCAGGCTTTGAGGAAGGACTGCAGCTTCCTAGTGGTTGCCCCAGGCCCACCCCTTCCTGCTTCCAATCCAGGACCAGCCAGAGATATGCCCCTGTGCTCTCCAAACAGCTGCACGGGAGGCCACCTTCTGCAGAGCTCACCTTGGCTTCCCTGTACCTCCATCAGAACATACCCACAGCCTCCCCTTTTCCCTACAATAGAGCCATCCCGCTCCTGTGCCTACAGTGGTCCCACCTCCCTGCCACAGTGGCTCTGAATAGACAGGACAGACAGGCTGCTGGTCCTCTTCTGAATGCTCTTGTTTATTCCCACAGCTCTGTGCAGTTGAGGACAGAGGCTGAGGTCATCAGAACTGAGACTTGTTCCTTCCCATAGCTCCCGTGCCAACATAACCACCGTGAGGTGGCCAAACCCAGGGGAGCCTCCTGCCCTGTGGTCCTGCAGACAACTCTCTGGGGCTGTGTTCACTGCCAAACTGCCTGCTAGTGGGACGGACACCCTGGTGACCTCCAGTTGCAGAGCTGTGCCTCCCACCCCATCCCCAGTCTACCATGGCCCTGGGCCCTCTGTCTGCCACTGTGCCCTGTGTAAGAGAAACGGTTCAGCCCCTCAGCCCTGTCCACCTGGCCCTCTGAGGTGGCTGCTCCTCATTCTCTACTCTCCCAGAGCAGGGAAAGAGCTGCAGCCAACCAGCATCATTCTAGCCACCAGGGCTCTTTCTGGGCAACTTTTCTGGCCATTTGCTATTTCCTGGCCCGCCCATGCTGTCTCCTCTAAGAACATTCCTTGTTCTAGGTTCTATCAGCTTGTCTTTGTTTATTCCTTGAGCTAAAGTCTAATTACAATACACTAAAAGGCTTGGATAGTAAGGGTTCAGGTCCATGAGCCCTGACTTCTGCATTTATGAGGGTGAAATCCCCTTTGTCAAGACACAGAACATCCCTATGCCACAGCAAGGATCCTCAAAATGGACAGCTTTGAGCTATGCAGGTGCAGGAATTAGCCTGTAACCAAGTCTGTCCTTTGTTGGTCATGTGAGTCATCAGAAATCTCTTTCCACTATATAGTTTTCCTTTGCCAAATATGTGAGTTAAGGTAAATAATTCTTGAAATTTTAGTCAAATTTATTCACTTTTCTTGATAGTTGGGCTTTGCCGTATTGAAGAACCCTGCTTGGGACCGGAAACACTGACAGGTACTGCTCTGCACACTCAGGTCCTTAACTGGCCTGGCACGTGCTTTGTGGATGTTATATGATGGCTGCTTCTCTGCACAGACAGCCTGTTGCTCCAGGAATGTTCATTGGCCACACTGTCCATCTCTTCCATGAGCACCACGTCTAGCATAGACTGCTGGCTGCAGCCCTGCCTTCCTTCCCCTCCGCCTGCATGGCAGAGCCCCAATCCTCTTCCAGGCGGCCATGTGTGTAAGCCTGGCCGTCCCAGCTATCCCACAACAAGTAGACCCCTGTGCCTGCACTCTGGATGACGAGCTGAGCTGGCCAGAGTGTCCCTGTGCCTGGAATTCAGACTGGGTGCTCAGGGATTTGGCCATCTCTAGGGATTGTGAAAACCTTCAAGTCAGAAGAGTCCTCTTAGATAGGACAAAGAAGGAATCAGGCTCCAGGCTATGGAGCCACCAGAGCATCTCGAGGTCACCTGTTTTCAGACTTAATTTTCTGTGAGAAAGATAAGCCTCCATCTAGTTTACATTTTCTTTTAAATACAGGCAGGCCTCTTTGCCAGTGCTCCCCCATGGGTCTGCAGGTCTCTTTTCAGATCTGTATGCTGTGCCACTGTTCTGCTGCAAATTACCACTCACTTTTGATTACTATGGTTTTATATTGTTAGTTTTCTATTTCCATGTTGGGATTCAATTTTTCAGTACTATGAAAAAATAAGATTTTTATTAAAAATGATGTTGAAATGATAGATTTAAGAGGAATTAATGAAGCTTTAAAAAATATAAATAGAATGAGCTGCAGAGTTCTTCCCCATTTTTCTAATCCCTAGAAAAGATTACATAAAATAGGGATGATCATCTACTACTAATGAGGAGAAGCAAATAGTTTTAAAATGTCATGGCCTGTAGCCCACTCTAAAAACATCAGCTTAACCCAGAAGCCCACATTAAAAACAGGTGGTAAACTCTGAGATGCCTGTTTGAAAGGATAGGAAAGTGACAAGTGTGAGCCTCCTGTGTACAAGTCCTTCTGCTGCCCCTCATGGGGGTCCCAGGAGCACCTGTTTAGAACCTCAGTCCTTCAGAGAATCTTGTGGAGCACCTGAGTGGGAAATGGGTACAAAATCCAAATGGTTGTAGAAAAGGAAGGTTGACAGACAGCACGGGTGAATCCCATGTGCAGGGAGGCAGCCACAGGGAGCCCTGCCCCTTACCGCGCAATTTTGTCACTGCAGGACATGGTGAGCAGCCGCTCCCCTTGCAGCACCCCGTCCCACGTTTGGATGCTCGCATTGGAGCGCACTGGAATCGTGCCCTCGCCAGACTCTATTTTGGTCCGTAGCTGTCCTCTTGCTTTACGATTTGGGTGTCTATCTGCTGGTTCTAAAAGAGAAAAAGAGTTAAAACCCCAAAGGTAGTAAACCATCTATTTATTAAAAAGCACATCAAACAATTCCTTATAAATTTAAAATATAGTTGTGCATATAAATACATATATATATGCCATACATACAAAATACACATACAAAGTACGTGTGTGAAACAGAGAGGCTGGGCACAGCGGCTCACGCCTGTAATCTCAGCACTTTGGGAGGCTGAGGCAGGTGGACTGCTTGAGCCCAGGAGTTTAAGATTAGCCTGGACAACACGGTGAAACCCCATCTCTACAAAAACTATAAAAATTAGCCAGGTATGGTGGCACATGCCTGTAGTCCCAGCTGCCTTCCTTGGGAAAGTTGAGGTGAGAGGATCTCTTAAGAGCCCAGGAGGTCGAGGCTGCAGTGAGCCATGACTGCACCACTGCACTCCAGCCTGAGTGACAGAGCGAGACCCTGTCTCAAAAAAAAAAAAAAAGAAGTATATAAAATTGAGTAGGAAGGACACAACACAAAGCAAATTCACAAAAGCGGTCTTCAAGGGATTTGGGGAAACAGGGTTTTCACTTTAACTGAAAGGATTTATTTCTATCATTGAAAATGAGCTGAAGCAAATAGGACAAAGTGCTAACATTTGCTAATTCTGCGTGATAGATACTTGGGTGTTTGTTATGCTTTTCCTTCTGTATTTTTAAAATTTCAAAAATAAATCTAGACAGATGCAGAAATAAACACATGGAAAGTATGATAAAACATCCATAGTGAATAACTCTGGGTGACATGAATATGGGTGATTTTAATGTTCTTTCTTACATTTTAAAAATATTTCGCAACTTTCCACAGTGAGTGTGCCTGTTGCTTTTATAAGTAAGGAAAGTAGTATAATGAAACATTCTATTTGGAATAAACAATGCCTAAGAATTTGGGAGAAGGGATGTGGTAAAATACTGAAAAACAAAAGTGCTAACCTCAAATGTAAAGAAGGATGGAACAAATTACGATCATAATAGTGATCTCACTTTTCATTAGTGTCTATCTGCTTCTGAAATATCAGTCAAATAAATACTTTAATTACACATTTAGCAAACTGCAATTCATCAGAAATATGAAGGATCACATACACCACTGATTTAGAGATGCTTATTACCCAAATTTAAATACTGATACAATTTTGATCCAATATCTCACTCCATTCTAATTACTTGGTTAATTACAATCAGCATTTTTCATTCATTAAAGTTTTCTAATTAAGTTATTAATTGGAAAGAAAAAATCCATGCTTTTATAGAGCCTCTTAATCAGATTCACATCCAAGGCTAAAATTAAAAGGAAAAAAAAGGAAAAGGGAGATTAATGTAGGTTTGTTCTTTCAAATAGTAACTTCAAACGGACACATTTTCTTGAGAAAATGGCTTGTTGAAGAATCTCATCTCATACCTTCCAGGATTGGTTCATGTGGTGAGAAGATTCTGGCATCTCCACAGGGAGAAGTGCTGATGTATAGATGAAACTGGACATTATCCTTCAGCCTAAACCCTCCTCGCTCTGATTTCTGAAAGATGGATCTTTTTTGATCATCTTTGCTACTGAAAGGAAAAAAGTTGCAAAAGTAACATTTAAAGCTGTATGCAGTTAAATTTTAGTCTATCATTTTCAGAGGCCATTATTTTCAACAGGGGAAAGATAGGTTTGAACTGGAATGTTTATTTTACATGTTTAGGGCAATTAATACAGTTCTTGTCCACTCAATTATGGATATGTCATCAAAATGTGAGTAACCTTTCCTTCTCCCAATTTATGACTTCAGAACAGAAAGACCACATACAAGAAATGGCTTTCTAAAGAAAAGCAGTTTGGATACATTACTCGCTCTTTCTAGAAACAGTGACTAGAATAAAAATGACCATTTTTACCAGGCAGTTTAGGAACTTCTACTTATACTGCATATAACAAAATCACACAGTCTTAAACACAGAATTGAAATTTATGACCATGTTGTGTTATTGTATGTATGTGTGCATATGTGTGTTGAGCATTATGAGAGAATGGGATCCAGCCTTATTGTTACTAATTAAAGTTATTATTTTGAGAGTTTTTCCATGCTTACAGAAACAATGAAAGGTTTTGCAATGTTTTCTAATAGTAGAGTATTTTTAAAAAATAGTTTCCTGCTCTTATTTGTTCACTAAACTTACTTTAAGTAAAGCTCAAGTTGTGTATAGAGAAATCTGAGCAAGGACCTCCGAGATATTATTTCTGCATGGCAGTCATTTAATGCAAGGCCACGGTCACTCATGTATTCTCCATTAATACACTTTGTTCCTGTAGAAACACTTATCACCTTGGCATCTTTAACATCTGTGCCTGTAAAAAAAGAGACATTTTTTTCCTATAATTCACAGTCACGTTTGCCTAACTGCACTCCTGAGGTATGACAGTTACTCTCAGTGACTTAATTTTTCAGGGGCCAACAGACTTTTCAAGCTCATCTTCATGCACAGTCTTACCACCTACTTTTTAACTGAGCGAATGTATGCACTGCAAACAACCTCCTGTTGAAGACTGGCTTTGTGACATTTCTGGAAAGCTAACCATCCTCACTACTTAATGCACAGATGCTAAACTCACAGAAGGCATTTCCTCTGGAACGCAATAGCATCTTTTTGAGTGCTCACAACTAGAACACAGGTGGGCAACACTATGGAAGGTGGACTATCCGGTCTGGTAATTAATCTTGACATGAAATATCAAAGTACTAAAGAGGCTAGGAGGGGTTAATGGCACCCAGAGGAAGAAGAAGGAAAACAAAATTAACTTGTGATGTTTTCATTAGTAAACTGTCACCATTTAACCATACTGGGAGTTAAATCATAAGGAGTGGTGATCTCCCATAGGCAGATCACTCTGTCTCAACTTTGTGAGACAAACCACTGACAGAGGGCATGATGAAGGACCCTGGAAGTTACCTGTGGGGAGACTCACATCCACTGCAGCTGACCCAGTGGTGTACACACCGGGTAGCAGGTATGCACCATGTCTGTTAGGTAAACTGTCCTCACTGCATTCCCACCATGTCCTCTGAGGCTCATGCTACTACTGTCTCCACTGTATAGATGAGGAAATTACAAGGCACAGAGGCCTTGTAACCTGCCCAAGGCCACTCAACCAGTAAGAGCCTCTGAACCAACTGGAGTGCCAAGTGCTCCATGGTCCTGGCTTCAGATGTAAATTATGGCTCTGAGCAAGTGGTCTCAAGTGAAATACACACTAAGATGTAAAATGCTCCCAGAAGGTGATCAGCCTCTTCTAAGGTAGTTAAAAAAAAAAAAAAAAAAAGAAGCCAAACTGATGAAAGAACACAACCAGCTCACTCACCAGGTCACTGGAAAAGGCAGGGAATCTTACCTAGGGAACTACTCTATTCGGTAGTTGTGGTGTTCACCTTTGATTAGTGTAAAAGATGGCAGTAAGGAGAGAGATAGAAGGGAGAGAAAATACAGGTATAAAACATTAAAATAGAAATGGAAACCCGACATGCTTTTTGGATACTTCCTCCTCCCTGGACATGGCAGGGCAAGGAACCAAGGGTCACGAGCAGAGCAGCTGGGTTTCCCAGCACAGCAAGAGGTGGGTCAGTGAAGAGGACTGGGGCGTCTGATAGAGGTGACCCCTCAGGGAGAAAGGACAAGACAGTCACATACCGAGATCGGGGAGTTTCTTCTGGGCTGGTGAATGTAGACAGAGAAACTGTCCCCAGCTCCCTCCCTGATCTCTAGGGCCTGCTTCCTGCATCCGGCTGTCCAGGCTGGGTTGAGCAGATGCTGGGCACAGGGGCGGCCCCACGTGACGGGGCTCCTCTCCCTGAGTCCTGCTCCACCCCGAGGAGCCAGGCACGGGCTGAGGATGTGGCTTCCTTTTCCAGGAGTTACCCACAGAGAGATGCTGCTGCATGTTCTCACTCCCGGGATGTGGGAAAAGGATTCAGGGATTCCTTTTGCTACTGGGAACTTTTAGATGAATTTAATAAGGTTTTTTCTATCATTCTATATTGTGTTTTTTTCCCCACAGATTTTCTACTCTTGCTAGAGCTTTCTCCCTCCCCAGAAGAAGTCACACAGAAACTTATCTGGCATTGTTAACATTAACTAATACAATAGATGGGCCTACTTTCAAATAAAGCAAGAATTAGTAAGCCCCCTGCTATCTTCCAGGGCACAGTGAGGCCATTCACAGGACGAAGATGATGGAAATAAAAAATTAATACGGTATGCTTTCTCCAAATAAAACAAACTTCGGTTAAAAAGATGAACATTTTGGGAAACAAGTTCATAAATGCAGTTCCTAAACTTGCATATGGCAGACATTTTGAAGAAGAAAAGAAGAAACCATCTCCCAATGGCATGTCACAATGGTTTTTCTCGATTGAGAACACTTCACATTTGTCAGACGTGAAAACAGGCAGAGTTGCATACAATACCAAGACGGTTACCTGTTGTCATGACAACTCCAGCCAGCACTTTTCTGCGAGCGTGAGGGGAGGAGAAGTTGTCTGTCAGGTCACCGAACTTACCCAGGACCAGGCGTGAGACAGCATCAGCTAAAACCTGTGTGGGAAGCAAGATGCAGGTTAGGGGCCAGGTATGCCGGGGAGCAGGGCTCACTGTCTGAAGGCCTGCATGGACTCTCCCTTATGGAGTGATGCAGGCTGCTTCTTATCTGGAAAACCACACAGGTAAATCTGGCAAACAAGTATGTGTGTATGTTTCTTCTAGAACATTCCTTGGAAACAGACACCCCAGGATCCTGCCAGGCTCTAGCTGGGTCCTTCACTACACCCATGTGGGGCCAGTGTAGAGTGTGAGCGGTACACACAAACACCCCTCCAATCTTCACAGCGGGGCATCCCAGCCCTCAGGAGGAAACTGAGGCAAACAGAGATAAGACTGCTTGCTCAAGGCCACCTGCCCATGCCTACGTCCACGCAGAATGGTCCTCCCACACCCCTTGCCCTCTCTCACATGCACACAAGGAGGGGCTCAGTCAGTCCCAGGGCCACACATGGCTGGGAGAACAGCCCAGGGTGATGTGCAGTGCCACAGGCAAGAGAAAGGGGCAGCTTGGAGATGTGATCCAGTGAAAGAAGCCACAGGCTGCACACAGCACCTCCCTCAAAGGGGCACTGAGGGGCTTCCCAGTCATTCCAGCCTCTCCACACAAGCCACTCTGCCTCTGCTCACTCGCTCAGACTGCACAATATATAATATAATCATGTACCGAAGGATAGCATGGGGAGGGAGAGCGTTTAGACCAAGTGTCCCCAAACTTTTTACACAGGGGGCCAGTTCATTGTCCCTCAGACGGCTGGAGGGCCGCCACATACTGTGCTCCTCTCACTGACCACCAATGAAAGAGGTGCCGCTTCCTGAAGTGCAGCGGGGGGCCGGATACATGGCCTCAGGGGGCCGCGTGCGGCCCGAGGGCTGTAGTTTGGGGACGCCTGGTTTAGACGCTTGGAACACCTGCACGGGTATATGCGCAATCACCTTTATGAAAGTGCTTCTGAGAATGGACATATTTGTTGGATTCTGGACATGATCTGATGGATTTGGTTTATCTTGGATATAATGAGCCCATGGCATTTGGGGAAATGATGTCTGCTGGGAGGTGCGTGTTAAGAGCCAATTTCAACCCATGTCCCATCAATATCACACTTGTCTGGAAAATCAAATGACCATTAGGAAAACCCAGCATCCCCAGGTTGATCCTTAATAAAATATTTCCTAAATGAATAGAAAATATAGTTGTCAGGATGTTTTTCTCTTATCATTGTACCAGCAAATGCCAGTGAGTCCCAGAGGACAGTATTCAAGACAAGACGTGGAGAAAAGACAGAGGCTCTGGTGGCAAGGATTCATGCACCCACAGCCTGTGGCATCTGCATTGCAGGGGTAAGCGGATGCAACGAACTGAGGCTGTGGCAGAAACACAGGACCTGGCCAGGGTACCAGAGGGAAAGGGCAATGCATTCAAATTTACAGAGAAGAAAAAGTCATAAGAAGATTAGGGATAAGCCAGAGGAAATAAAAGCTTCTGTTTCATATGAGATTAGGCGAATCTCCAAATTTTCAAAGAAAGGCGAAGAAATGTAACTACAGAGTGAGTTCTGAGAGCCTCTGGCGGAAGGTATGGTGCTGGGGCTGATGCCTGCGTTAGGCACATGGGCAGGGCTCAGCTCTCCTTGAGGGGATTACTGGTTTCACCCTATAAGGTTAGTGAAGGACTCCCCTCTTAATTTGTGAGGCAGATATAAGAACAAAAATAACATGCTCTTAAGAGATAAACCCATGCCACACAGTCCCAGGCAGCACCATTTACCTGCAATGACATGCAGGGATGTCTGACCTATGTCCTTCAAGGATTACTCTAGAAAGAGTGAGGGTTTTTCACTCACCCTAGAATGCATATTTTGAAATTTCCTGTTGAAAGACAACAGAGCCCAGCAACAAAGCCATAAGGATGTCTGGTTCTGGGAGGGTCACCGTCGTCCTAGGAGGAACACATGTCACATTCCTGAGCTACCCTGGGGTTCCAGAGACACAAGGGTGGCAGGGTCCACCGTGGCAGAGACTAGAAGTGCAGCTCCATCCCCTCATGCCCTGGTGGTTCTGAACATGAGGTCTAGAACCTGGCATTCATCACCTACATTCATCACCTGGCATTCAGCCCAGAGGAAAGTGGCCTCGGGGGCTGAGATGGCCCTGCCCACCTGCACCCCTCCCCTCAGGCTGGAGACCAACACATGCCCCTCTAGCCTTCCCAAGCCAGAGGCTCTGGTCCTGCTCCACACAGAAGTCACTGCAGGCACACAAGGCCAAGCCAGGGAGGCAGGGCCAATGTCTATACTGGCGCTTCTATCTGCATCCCCTAAGGTGCTCCCAGTCTACACTCTCCAGGCCCAGACATCTGAGATTCACGGCATTTGATGTCATTTCAGTGGTCTTATATGCCACTCTGTCAATATTAAGGGAAGACAAGTCACATCAGACAATATTTTGAACTCAGGCTATAATATTTTAGCAAAGAGTAACTATAAAAATAAAAAAATCACATGGGATCTAGCACCACTGATTTGAAAAAGTATAAACAGACTAATAATTTTTATGAACAATGTTGTAAAGAGGTTAATAACGGAAGCAAGTATTTGATTTGTTAAAAAAATCAGTGAAATATCTTGAATATATTATTTTAAACTAATGTTGTATTTGGCTGCTTTAGGCAAAAAAATTAATTTCCTTCCTTTAAAGCAGAACTCCTGGGTATCTCAGACTACAACTGCACAGAGATTTTCTAATTATATCCAACAGCAAAAAAGAAACTATAAGATACTTGGATTCTTCCAGGAGAATACAAGCCACAAATGAAGCATACATGTTATCTTCCAAGTGAAGAAGACTCTGATACAAAGGAATAAATGAATAAATAGAAGGTCAAAAGAATAATTTTTGCAATAGGCCAGAAGAATTTTCGATTTCCAAGAAGAGAAGCAAAACATAATCGGAGAGTTACAGGATTTAGAGATGAGAACTAAAGGCCATTTTCTCCTTTACCTTTTGTCTTTCGTGTAAGTCAATCTGAGCCCACCCTGGAACTTCTCCTTCCTTCATCCTGATTTCACTGGGCTGGGGGAGGGAGGAGAAGGCTAAATGGAAGAGTGGCTGCCCACCTCCCACCAGGTAAGCAGGGAAGTCCTCATAAACCTCATGTAGGAAATTCAAAGTAGAGACTCCCAGGCAACTGGCAGGCACTAGACCAGTTGTTGGAGGCCCCCCCCTCCCTGCCCTCTGATAGGTGCTCACCACTGTGCTGGCTCATCCTCTGCTTCGCTGGGCTCCTCAGCTTAGGAACAGTGAACAGCCAGCAGCCAGTCATGTGGGAGCCCAGAGGCTGCCATCCTGACCCAGACATGGGTTTTCAGCTATTGACCGGCTAGTGTCACTTATCTTGAATGTGGGATTCCTGGATGAGATCTTTGAAGGAAAATGCTGCTGAACTGGGGGCAAAGTTTCAAAGACTGGACTCATCTTCCCTCTCTCCTGCTAAAGGTTTGCTGTGGGATGAGGGCCACGTGGGGGTTGCCTAACAGGAAGGGAGTCACGGATAGTGTTGTAAACACTGCCCTGGTGGACGGGGCCTCAGGTGTCCTGCCTTGCATTGCGACGGACCCAGCATGCACTAGGATACAGACGGCTTCTTAGTGTCCACATGACCCTTGAAATCAAGGAAAGGCTGCCTCAGCAGCCAGACTTACCAGAAACTCCTCCTGGTGGGGCCAGAGTGATGTCAAGGTGGAAAGTCAGTAGTAACTCTGAAAACGAAATGCTGCCTAGAAGCATTACCAAGAACAACGACCCTATGCTTTCAAGCAGCAGCATAGTTCCTCACCTGCGGTAAATGCAACTGAAGACCCTCACTGGGAATAGGCTGGCGAGACGGCGTCTGATCCAAACGCAAGTTAAAAATGGTTGCCAGGGCAGACTGTGCAGCCCGGGCCTTGGCAAGCTTCTTGTTCCTCCCCGAGCCTTCAAAGAACTGACCGTCCACGACCACAGACATGACGAAGCTCTTGGCATGGCTCTCTCCACTCTCGGAGAGGAAGTCATACTTGAGCCCTGGGCGAAGTTCATTCAAGATCATCACGGGATTCTTCCCACTTGGGGGTGGGAACGGCGGTGGGACAGGGAGAGGAGGCTGGGCGAGGCTGGCAGGCACCGGGGAGGCTGACAAGCTGAGGTCCCCGCTGGAACTAAAGGAGTCATCCCCGTTGGAGCCCACGTAAAAAGGAGGCTCCACCTTGTCAGGAGTTTCAAAACCATTGAAGAGTGTGTCAGGGAAGTCGGCCTGGTCAGATGTAAAGTCCGTGTTGACAGACAGGGTCCTTCCCATGGCCAGGTGGGCCTCAGAGGCGTTAGGAAATTGAACAAAAGACCTCAAGGCCTTCTCAGCAGCATGGAGTTTTGCCTTTTTCTTTGTGGGACCAGAGCCCTCAAAAACCTGGCCATTCACTTCCACAGACATGACAAACAGAGGCGCGTGCACGGGCCCGGTCTGGGACAGGAGCGTGTATTGCAAGCCAGGCTTGATCTCATTCAGCTGCATCAGGGCGTTCTTGGGCAGGACCGGCCCTGGTGTTCTCCTCCTTCTCTTCAGGCGGTACTTGGAGTGGCCATTGCTGCCCTCCTCCAGGGGCCGCTTTCTGCTGGGGCCACCACCACCCCCATTGGAGAGCTGAGAGCCCTCGCCAGGCCCAGGCACGCCGCCATCCTTGGGGGACACGTTGTCCAGATTGCGGTTTTCCTTAACATCAGTGCTGCTGGAACCTGCGGTGCCCAGAAAGAGTAACTTACAACGCCTTCGTTGCAGGATCTTGTAAATGCAAAATTTATAGATTCCTTTAGCTCTCTTTGTAACTGGTTAAGTGATGTGTGCTTATAAATTTTATTCCTGGATGTGTTCATGAAGAGTTATACATTTAGCTAAAGAACTACTGGCCTCAACAAAACAAGTAATTTGACACTTTGCCGTTTCTATTTAGTGTCACCAACTGCTTTTGCTTTAAAAAGTAAAATCTTCAAATAATTTTTTTTCTGAGAATATACTCAAGTATCTAGAGATACTTTTTCAGTCTTATCAAACTGTGGGATGATAGATTAATCCAGAAAGACCTTACATTAACGAGTCTAATGAAATGACAAGTCACTACCAATACGTGGATACATGTACATTCATTTTAGTAATTTCCTCCTTTTCACTGTTCTTCACCCTTGTGTTGTCTAAGGGTTTTAAACTGCAGTGTCTCAGAAGCAAAAACTATTTAAAAACACGAATTCACAAGATAATTAGTTTTTCAGGTTTAAAATATTCAATCAATAAATGCAATTATTTGATTTAGTTTATGAACCAATGTTTAAAAGCTGCTTATGTAACTGTGTAAAGCATTATGGCTATTTAGTTGTTGTGTTTGGAGGATATGGTTTTATTTCTAGTGTCTATTTAAAAATGAGAACATTATATATGGGGGCTGATTAAATGTGAATCCTTAATACCATTCCATGATAGGAAAAGTATATAAGAACAAGCTATAAAATTGTAGCTGTATGCAGGTTACAACTTCCTAACTTCATAAATATACCCTCTGTTGATTTTGTCTTTTATTTTAAAAGAATTATTTGATGAATTTCCAGAATAATTTGTTTATCCTTTTAAAGGTATTTTATATTTCAAATTAACATAATTTTAGAATTTTAAAATTACATGGCAAAATAAACATAATTTTTTTTATTTTAAAAAGAAGAATAAAAGGTGTTCATCAAGCTTTTAAAAAGGAGAAGAACAAATAATTCCTTTCCATCATGGCTGGGCAGCTGTCACATGGAGCCCGGGGTGAGGGCCGCAGTGCCCTGCAAGGTTGCAATGTGAATTAAAGCTAAAGACCCCTACCACTAATTTTCAAAAATCTATAAAAAATCCTTTAAGTAACCAAAATATTGCTAAAATTGTAAACCAATTTACAAGTGCCCCATATGGTGGCTTTAGGGCCTATTTCTACTACACGTATGAAAGTAGATTTTCAATATGTTAAGCAAACTGAAAAAGCTGTGAAAATGGTTATCAGCTTCATCCATGGGAAGGTTTAAAGGGACCAAGTCCTAGCCCTTGGCTGCCGGTCTTTGAGGTTAAACATCTCTAATTCCAGAGCTGTCATCATTCAGCCAAGACAGAAGAGCATAAAAACCTGGTTTAGATACAACCCATGGGAAAACTGATGCCACTCTGTGGCAGAGGCTAAAAGATTTAAAACTTTCTCTACAGATATCATTTCTCCAAAATGATCCTCACACACACACACACACCACTTCTCCCAGTTGACAAAGCTGATGGAATGGACATTAAATTTTCATTTATAACATCCTCCAGCAAAAGCTCGATAGGTTACTCCTTTCGGTGCTCAAAGGGAACAAAAGGTTAAAAAAAAAGTAGAGTCAAGATGGAATTCAGAGATTAATAAGCAAGAACATGACATACTAGATTACTGCTTACATTTTGACTTTGTTGCTAAACAATTATCAATATCAAAAATCAAATCATTATAAATGTATTTGGACATGCATTTAATCAAATATAACCTCTGAAATAACCAAATGCTTTCCTTTCAGAAATAAAAATTACTATTGTACTCACAAATAATCTTGAGAAGAATATACTTTCAGTTAACACAGATTACATACATTCTAAATTGTTATTCACTTCAGGAGTATACTGAAATTACCCTCATTGTCACTGAAAATGCTACTACAATAAAGGAAAACACTAAAACTAGAGAAAGATGCCCACATTCACAGCTCTTCTTAAACAGATGCCTTCTCTTTCGGTCTCATGCTACTGCATTTCATTGATGTGAATGCAAAGCCCTATTATGATGTGATCATAATAGGGCTTTGCATTGCCTTCAAAATGACAAAAAATGCAGGACCACCATTTCCACGTTTTAGCACTAGATCATGACTTTCTTTCCAGGAAAATTATTTGGGAGGTTTCTTTGTCGTGTTAAGTTATCACAGGGTCAGTTTGGGGATAGTTCTAGAAGCCACACAATCAAGAAGCCTCTGTCTACGTGAGGTGGCTGCAGCTTGGGCTACAGGCCACAGTCCTGACACAGAGACTCTGGGGACCCCTGCACACACTCCTTCGCTGGGCTACTGTGCGGTCCAAGCGCAGGCTACATTTTCTCAACTGAGGAATATGAGCAAAACCTGTCTCTTAAAAAGTTGTGGCCAAATTGGAAACAGTGAGTTGAGTTGCCCAGTAAAGACATAAAGCTGGTTTTTTAAAAGATCTGAAGAGCAGGATCGATGAGAAAGAAAACCTGAAAAACAATCACCAGCAGCACTGGGCTGCACACACATCAGCAGAAGTGAGGTGAGCACATGGGTCCCATGGTTCCTGGGCAGCGCTGCAGGAGGTGGTCTCACCTTCACACCCCAGACGGCTGACTTCAGGCAAAGCCAACACTTAGTGTACTGTCTGCAGAGCAGAGGCCCAGCCCCCTCCACAGCACCCACAGCATACCCACAGGGCAGCAATACCACACAGAAACGCTTCACTGGGTCACGGTTTGGGTTATACGTGGTACACAAGAGCAATTCCAAGACCCCAGATCATCAGTTTCATGTGAAGTCAAAGGGAAAGGTGTTGAGCTAAGTTCTAATGCTCAATAATCCCTCTCAGTGACATGTCACTCATCATTTAGAGCTGCATGTTATTCCTTGAGACAAGAAGGTAAATACAGATATTTATATTAGTTACAGCAATGATGCCTTTGTTGTAATTTCTCTGCTAAACTCTCCCAACTTCTGTGGAAGCATTTAAACCTGTTTTCTGGGACCGAAGATGAACTAGAAGAGGTAAGTACCTTCACTGAGCTTTTTATAGAAGAAAACACAGAGAGGAAGTGCTGATATAACCCAGAGACTTTCCCCTCATCCCCCTCTAACCCCCCGGCCCCAGAGAGAACAGCATGGAAGGAGGAGGCCCACACCAGTCCCAGCTCTCATTAGCACCTTTGGGAACTTCCGATCAACAGACACGTGTGAACCCCCTTCCCTCAAAATGCAGGGAGAATCCACTGGATTTGAAGGGAAATATTTCTGTACTGTTATTGCAGAGGACTAGGTACTTAATTATCAACCTTAGACATTTATCTTCAATTTGCATGCGTGAAGATTCAGAGCATTATTCTGAGAGGCGCGCCATGACATGACTCCACACGAAACAGTGGGGCTTCATGAGATGTATCCAGAAGCCTGTTCCAGCGGGAACAGTGATGCCCCATGACGATACCAAGGAAGGAAATACCCAGACATACAGCTGCAGGGAAGATGTCTGCAGCAAATACGGACACCTACTGCAGAGAACATACCAAAATTTAAAAACATGCCACTGTCAGAAGAGCAGAATATGGGAATAAACACATTCCCCACACTGGTCTCACGAAATAAATTTACAAAAATAGCAAAATGTTAACATAAAATTAGCTATCTGATACTATGTGATAGGCCTAGATCTTACTCATGTTTTCTTCATCTTCTATATCCATGGCAAAATACTTTTGAGGGTTTCTTGACTGGCGGAGACTGTTTCTGTCTGAAAGATAGTAAGAAAACAGCATTTAGTGTGCCTATGATATGAGTAATATGAAGTCTACTCTAAGGAAATAATTACGACATTATTACAAAATTAAAGGAAGAATTCATAAAATAAGAACTAGGTCCTGTTAGAGAAGTCAGATCTGCCATCTGGTACAAAACACTCCTCCTTAGCAGCTTCCGGTACAGCAAAGGACTTCTGGCGTGGATTCTCCCACACGGAAGGACAGCAAGGGCAGGACCTGGTCCCAGCAAGGGAGGTTTAGGGCCAGTGCCCAGAGACCTCGCACCACTCTGAGGAGGGTAGTTTGATTCCAGGCAATGGAGGGCCATGAAGAGAGCTGAACTAGGGACAAAGGCACTGATGCCTGCACCCTGGATGCAGGAGGACTAAGGACACAACACACCACAACAGATGACAACAGGCCTCAGAAGGGTGCTCACATATTCATCATCCACCTTTAGTCTGGGTAGACTTTTGGCTTCCAGCTATAAACTAAAGCCACACAGCAGAACCAGCACCCACAGCTTCTCACTTAGCTACTTCTCTCTCACCTTGAATAGCTCCTCATGCAGACAGAATATCCAAGTGCATATCACTGTTAAAATTCAATCTAATTTCCTAGCTACATGTAAGTACTATTTTATTGGCAGGAGAAACCACAGGAAATCCTCAAAGAACAAGTATCACAATTTCTAGTTATTAATAAATTTAAGAGTTTCCTCTTTTTAAATATTTTAGATATACTTTGTAAGACTGTATTAATACATGATCTATAATAAAGAATATCATCAAATTGCCATCAAGGAAAAAGAAGATTTGCAAACATTATAATCACGTTACTTTGTATACAAATAAAACTTATATTACAAATCACTAAAAGGCAAATTCATTTCTCTTAGAATGACTAAAATGTACTAAAACATGCATGTATCTTATATATCAAGTATCATATATCTAAAACTATATATTGCATATACAGTTTTTTTTTGTTTTGTTTTGTTTTTTTTTGAGATGGAGTTTCGCTCTTGTTACCCAGGCTGGAGTGCAATGGCGCGATCTCGGCTCACCGCAACCTCCGCCTCCTGGGTTCAGGCAATTCTCCTGCCTCAGCCTCCTGAGTAGCTGGGATTACAGGCACGCACCACCATGCCCAGCTAACTTTTTGTATTTTTAGTAGAGACGGGGTTTCACCTTGTTGACCAGGATGGTCTTGATCTCTTGACCTCATGATCCACCCGCCTCGGCCTCCCAAAGTGCTGGGATTACAGGCTTGAGCCACCGCGCCCGGCCACATATACAGTTTTTTATGAAATCATTTGTCAATAACTTTCAAGCTCACTATATTTCAGGCAAATTTGTTTCTAAAAGTTAAATGAGTTTATTTTTAGAATACTTTAATCAAGAAAGTTTCCCAGATAGTTTAAAAAGTATCATTATTGTATAGTCATTAACGACTTCAAGATACATTTTCTGAGAATCTATTACATGCAAAGCACTTGTGCTAGATACAAGAATCTAAATCAGATTCTGACATTTAAATGTCAATATTGCCTGAATCACATTAAGGAATTACAGTGAATTATTTTAGGTGTAGAAATGGTAGTTCTCTTTTAGTGACATATACTGAAGTATTTACAAATGAAAGGACACTATCTAGGATTTACTTCAAAAGAATTCAGTGTGGTGAGAAATAGATGAGGTGTAGATGAAACCAACCAATAAGCTCCGGTTGGTAATTACTGATGGTGGTGATGGTCATGCAGTGTTCATGACACAATTCTGTATTTGTAAATGTTTTAATATTTCCATATGGAAGGACTGATACAAATTGACTGGGTTGAGGTCTAGAATGGGAGGTAAGATGCAGGCACAGAGGGCGAGACCCCTGCAGGCAGGGCAGAAGCCCTCAGTGGTACTCCCAGGAGCCTCCCGGCTGGAGGTATCAGGCCAGAAAAATGGGGACACGCTCACTAAACTGAGCTTTGGACCCGAGGTCTGGCCGAGCATACCATGAAGACGGGAAAACGGGTAGAGTGGGTGAGGACACTGAGGTCATACAAGGCAAAGCGGCTGTGAGGTGCCTCTGAAAACCCAAGTCATAAACTGGAGAAACAACAAATAAGCCTGTCCAAATAGCTCTGTTCTTACTGGCTCAAACTGGCTTTAAATAGGCAAAGGAAACTCCTCGGTGGGAAGATGGAGTCCTTCTCTTTCTTCCTCCCATTAAATACATCTAAAAACCTTGGACATTACACATAAAACACACATAAAAAGCCTGAGAGATGTACAGAAAGCTGACAAGCCAGGGGGGCCTCAGGACCTGAGAAGCAACCCTGCATTTTACTTTTGGTTCATTTTCCCAAAATAGAGCTGAAAAAGCCAGAACCCAGAAACATCAGCAGGCATAGAGAAAAACAAAACACAAAAAAAGCCTCAATGAAAGTAGCTCTCTCTGGCCAAAGGAAAGGAAAGAGGTAGCCCAGCAAGACAGAAAATTTTTTAGACAAGAATTGCTTTATTCCAGCCAAACACAAGAGAAAAAACCTTGACCATGCCCCACCCATGCCAGGCTGTAAGGATGACCCCAGAGTCCCCTTGTTGGGGTGGTGTCAGACAAGGCTGAGTGGTGAGCCACAATTTTCATTCCCACCAGGCACTAACAACCCCTTCCCTTCCCACATCACAATCCAGAGTCATGGGAGACTGTGTGGGAACCTGGACTCTCGTCATACCTGGTGGAAATAAGGCTACCCCGTGCCGCCAGTGCAGGCTCCAAATGGAGCAGTAATGAGGCCCTCTCACAACAGACAGGCCTCCGGGGGCCCCAGTGGGGAACTTGAACTTAGCCCCCATCCAGCAGTAATGAGACGGCATCCCCGCTTCCTCTGACACAGCGGTGGATGAGAAAGACAGCTAAAATGCGAGGTTTGAGTAACACTTAGAGTCTCAGAATATCACATTAACAGGTTCCAATAAAAAACCACTTGTCACACAGAGAAACAGAAGATAACAAACTAAATGAAAAAAAAAAACAATCAACAGATGCCAACTCGGAGATGACACAGGTGGTAGAACTGTCATAGAAAGACTTTCAGGTAGCCACTACAGAAAAAGAGCAAAATGGGAGTCATCAGTCTAGCTGATCTCAGCATTTACTATAAAGCTCCAGTCATAGGACAGAGCAGTGGTGGCAAGAGGCAGACAAGCAGATCACAAGAGGACAGAACAGAAGGCCCCTAAAGACCAGTACAAACATGGCCAACTGATTTTCAGCAAAGGTGTAAAAGCAATTCCGTGAAGGAGGAACAGCCTTATTGGAGCAATTAGAGATCAAAAACAGTGAACTTCAATCCAGGTCTCCTACCTTATTCAAAATTTAACTCAAAATAGACTATGGGCTTAAATGCAAAACATAAAACTATGAAACTTTTAGAAAGTCACAGGAGAAAATCCTCAGGATCTAGGGCTAGGCAAAGGGTTCTTAGACTTAATACCAAAAGCACAATCCACAAAATAAATAACTGATAAACTGGAAATTTAAAACTTTTGCTCTGCAAACGTCCCTGTTAAAAAGATGAAAAACAAGCCACAGACTGGGAGAAAATATTTGAAAAACATATATCCAACAAATAGAAATATATAAGAAATCCTCAAAGCTCAACACTAAAATAAACAATCCAATTAGAAAACAGGCAAAAGACATGAAGAGGATCTATGAATGGAAAATAAACATAAAAAGATGCTCAGGATCACAAGTCACTAGAGAAATGCGGCTGGGAACTACAGGGAGGTAACTCTGCTGCACGCCTCCAAGAAGGGCTATAAAACACTGTGTTGCTTTAAAACCTGTGACAGCCCCAAGCGAAGACGAGGCTGTGGAGAAAGGGGATCTCTTATAGACTGCTGGCAGAAATGTAAAATGGGATAGCTACTCTGGAAAGTAGTTTGGCAGGTTCTTAGAAATAAAACATGCAACTACCACATGACTCAGCAACTGGAATCCTGGGCATTTATCCCAGAGAAATGAAGGCTTACATTCACAGAAGCATTATTTCTTACAACTACATGTGACTCCATATTATCTCAAAATAAAAAGTTTATTTATCTATTTATTTGAGAGTCTCACTCTGTCACCCAGGCTGGAGTGATGCTATCTCGGCTCACTGCAACCGCCACCTCCCAGGTTCAAGCTGCCTGCCTTAGCCTCCCAAGTAGTTGGGATTACAGGCACACGCCACCATGCCCGGCTGATTTTTGTATTTTTAGTAGAGATGGGGTTTCACCATGTTGATCAGGCTGGTCTCGAACTCCTGACCTCAGTTGATCCACTCGCTTTGGCCTCCCAAAGTGCTGGGATTACAGGCGTGAGTCACCACAACCAGCCTTCAAAATAAAAAGCTTATTAATAGTAGGCAGAAGACACACAAAAGGCTAAATTCTTATATATAATGAATCAATAATTGGTTTGCTTGGAAAGGCTGACTTCTCTCAGATATCTAGGACCAGGAAAAACAAACTTTACAACAAAAATAAAAGTGCTGAGGCAGAGGAGTGAGCCCAGCTCATGTAGTTCACCTAATTCATACAGTTCACCTTGTTTTCCTGCCCTTGTATATTAAAATTCTTTTAAAAGGACAGGGAAAATGTCTCACAGTAGAAAATCGTCATGCCAAGTGAGATGGCAGGTGAGTACCTGCAGGTACCTCCCACATTAAGAATGGGAGCTGGAAATCTCTTGCAGAGCAGAAGCCAACGTTTTCAGCTTTGACAAATGCCAGCTCTTCTACCAAAGGTTATCAAAGCAAAATAGCGCATGCAAACACTTTAGTACATTTCACACAGCTATTTTCTTCTTCCCTTTTTAAAAGAACCTCTATGATCTGAACTACAAACAAGTAAGAATTAAAACCCTATCAAACATCCCCTATGGAACAAAATTCCAAGAATGGCCAATTTAATAAAAGCTTTATTTGATAGCAATATTCAAAACAACC